AAAAGTAAAATTATCCATAACTACTTTTCTAAATGGGATTATTCAAAATCATAGACCAAGTTTGTTCAGAGGAAACTTAATCCCCAAGAGAGATTAATGGGCTTGAAGAATTCTGAGGAAGCCCAACCCAAGAAAGGACCAAGCCTTGGTCCAAGTCAAGGAAGCCAAAGGCCATATGACCCAATTATGCAATAGCCTTAGAAGGCCCTTGCGCACTTATGCGAATAACTTAATTCGCACGCTGCAGCGCGCCCACATGCACACAACCTATTAGGCACACAGGCAGCCAATGCGCTGGTGCGCAACAAGGCCTGCATATGAACGAGCTCAAGTCAGGCAACATCCCCACTCGCATGGCCCAACAAACTCGCAAAACCACGCACATACGGACCTAATAGACCTGACACGACCCACCTGGCCAACTGCGGGCCTGCATCGAGTGCACATGTGGCCCAGTCCATATGTATGTTCAACCTACTCGGACAATCTATCTATTCGACCCACCCATTCTTTTTGTCTTGCTTTGGATCTTTAGGCCCAATTGGATCCAGCTTGGAGTTTTCTTTTGCCAACTTTTGGGCCTTCAAGGTTGTCCACTTCTTGACCTAAACTTAGTCATAAGGTTTGAACCTCTTTGGGAGCTTATTGAGGTTGGGTACTTAGCCCTATGTGCAAAAGCCTTAAATTCTTCCCTCTTGTACACTTGGATTGAGCTCTAAGTCCCTCCTTAAATGAGTTTTAGACCTGCGCTATTATTATATTACTTCGTGGGCCAGAATTATCGACCCCTTCAAGGTTGGACTCGAATTGAACTTCGAAATTGTTTTTGGCCTAATTGGGATGACATCAATGACTTTCATGCTTCTCTCTCTCTCTTTATATCTGACAACAACTCTCTTTATGAAATCTCAAAATATCTTGATTTTAATACGAGAACAAAAACATAGGTGTATACTGCAATAGAGAGAGAAGGAAAGAAACGGTGACTGGGAGAAGATTATTATTTTTAATTTTCACAATAATATATACATCTTATACAAATATTGTCTTAATTTGAGCTTTTTTATTGACAATATCCATAGCCTCCGATAGTTGAAAGAAATATATGGTTGTAAGTTTAGAATTACACACATGAAGTCCTAACCTTGACAAAATCCACATTGTTTAACTTGATAAGGTAAGAACAAACCGTCATCAGATAGTTATATGGAATTATGTAATCTAAAGTAAACCAAACCAAAAGAGATACAAAGTAATGCTGAACTGGGAATGCCTATGTGCCACCTGTTTACATTATTCTGCTTTACTGTGAGTGAGTATTCATTATGAATTATGTGAGTGGAAGAGAAAGAAGAAGAGCAGTCAAATTTGATGAATATATTTTGGAAGAGAAATAAAGTTAGAAAGATGGTGATTAATTGGGTCTCATCAAGACACTTCCATGGTTACATAATAAAAGTGTAGTGTGATAACATAAATTAATTGCATAAAGAGGGGCATGTGAGGAAATTATGATAAGAGAAAGAGGAAGAAGCATGATATGGTGCCTAATGTTTTCTCTTGGTTAGATGTATGAGTGCCAAGTTATGCGTGTGTGTGTGTGTTTTTTTTTTTATTTAAATTCTGTTATATTTAACTTAAAAGCAATTCAAGGATCAAACTGAAACCAAATAAGAAAATAGATTCTTAATTTTAAGACTTTAAAAGGTCGAGGACCAATTTTGCAAATATAATCTTTTTAGGTGGTTGGTAGGAGATTCAGAAAAATTCTAATTTTAAACTAGTGGAGTCGGTAACACTCTCGCGGGACTTGAATACACATCCATGTATCTGTGCGCCGATGTTTGAGCAGAAAGCAAGCAATTATGGACTTGCAAGGGTGGGCTGCTACAAATGAAGGGTGGATTGCTACAAATGAGAGCGCCAAAAAGATGCTCTCTAGGGTTCTAAAAGAGCATCCATTTTTGTTTCTTCCTCCGCTTCACAGGGTTCCACTCCGCACTGGCAACGTGATCGAGCTCGTTGGTCCATCACCTTCTGCTAAAACCCAAATATTGTACCAGGTCCTTGCATTAAACATGAACTAGTTGCATGCTGATATTCAAGAATCTCGAATTTAAGACGGATTTTGTTTTTGTCTTATTGCTTTAAGCATAGGTTGCAATCAATGGAATTCTTCCTAAGCAGTGGAATGGTATTCATTACGGAGGATTGGGGCAATTGGTGTTCTTTCTCGACTTGGATTGTCGTTTTGACATTTTACGGTTCTCCCACATGTTGAAACATCGAATCATGGAAGCTAACGGTAGGTTATGCGACTTATTGATCTTGTTTGTCATCTTTTTGCGTGTGTTCTTTTTATTTCTCTCATCTGATTTACATTGACATCTACGTTTGTGTATTTCTACTATTAATGTGTTAATGGAAATTGGATAATCTACTTGGTCTTTGACAATTGTCGCAGAACAAGGTCCCTGTTTATACCTTCGATATGTGTATTTATGGCGAACATTGGTGCAGAATAGATTTTCTGATTAACTCTTGAGATGTAGATTAGAAACAATATTTAATTAAATATGAAATTATTATGCTATTTAGGGTTCTATTTATTATAGTTTTGGTACTTTTAGGATTTTAAGATTTTATTTTTATTAGTATTTAAAATTTCTATTTGCATAATTAGTATTTTTTAGTTTAATTCTATAGGAAATATAATTTAGGAAACATTACAAATATTTTCTTAACTTTATCTTTTTAAAAATGCTTCAGTTATTCAATATAATATTTTGGGAGTTTTTTTTATTTTTTAGTCGTGTGAAGCAATTAAACCCCTGAATGCAATACTAATGATTTCTTAGATACATTATTTGAGAAATTCTAGGTGCCATGTTTAAGTTCTTTTATCACTAATTTCTAAGTAGACAAATTAATCCTAATTTTTCATACATCAAAGAGACCTGATATATTGGTAGTTTAAGTTACCTGGCCAACTGGGTGTTAGCACCTCACTTAATCTATAAGTGACACTGTGAATATGCTGCCATGAATTGTGCTTTGCACTAAATCACTGTAGTGACAACAGACTGAATATGAAAATCCTGTCAATGTTTCTGAAGTACCACTGATAACCATAAAGACAAACTAATGTGTTCAACATACAGACATATATTTTGCAACTTGCATGTTAAACACTAAGCATGAAACTCTTGCAAATGTAACAACGGTGATGATAGTAACAAAGATGATGATGAAATGATTTGGTTGACATTGTTCTTATCATAAAGAAATTTTTCCAGAGGATATAACTATTTACTATAGTTATATGATTGCTTTTCTTTTGAAAACGGAAGCATGAGACAATTCATAGATTCCTTCTCTAGAAGACTATTTTCCTATAATGGAGCTTACAATGTAGATTTTTTGTTAACTTTTTTCTGGAACCTGATGTAAATGCACTTTTATTGTCGATCTTGTTTTTTCCAGAGGACATTAGGGCTGTCTTCTCTGGCTTGTTTCTTAAATATTTTTCTCTCTATTATATTATAACTTATAAAGTTATGTACTTTCCTATTGCTTAAGTTTTAGCATGATTGGTCATGAAATCAATTGCTTACATGGTCTCGGACAAGTTCTTTGTTTAAGCTGTGGAACCTCATCCCTCTTGTTGTTAATCCATTTGTTGCCCTCAAGTGGGCCTTTGTTCAAAGCCCTGCTTGGCTTGTATTCATTTGGATTTGTGTTCACGTGCAAGTTTGTTACTGCACTTGTCTCCCCCAACTTCAGGGGCTTATATTTCTTATCTTCTGAAGCTTACTGTTGGGTTGTCAAAGATAACTTTTGAGTGGCAGGATGCTCCAACGTGAGGAGATTTCGCCTATCACTTATCCTTGCCATTCTTGTCGTTTGTATTAGTTACTCAAAAGGGTGCATGATGGTTTTTTACTGTAAGAGTCCAATTTGTTAGGATGTAAGCTCATATGTTATGCAAAAAGTAGACCTTTTTGGTTTTCTGAACTCGAAAAAAGAGAAAGAATAGTTTGTATTAAGAATGTTTTTTTGATTGATGTGTATTTTAGTAAATATTATAACTCTATATATACATATTTCCAGGACAACAAAAAGGAAATAAATAATTAATTACAATTAATTATAAAGAGTGTAATTTACTCTTATACCCTGATTTACTTTTTCTTTAACATCTTAATTTATTTCGTCTTTAATATTTTGATTTACTTCCTTTTTAACACCCTGATTTACTTTATATTTAACATTCTGATTTACTGCTCTTTAACACTCCCTCTTAATTTGGAGAATAGTTGTTGTCCATTCATATCTTACCAGTAAGAGTTAAGAATGTTAGATTAATTACGCCTTTAGTTAACTAGTCTGCTAGTTAAGAATGGGTGTCCATTCAATATAGACTTCTAAGAGTAATTTGTCATTTTTTTTATCATAAAATTTTTTCCTTGTGATTCTTTTAAATATTGTAGTACTTTATAGCCTGCTTGCAGGTGCATTTTTTCCGAATTATATATGAATTGACTTATAACATTCATTACATGAGCAGTGTCTGGTTTTATGTGGGATAGGTAGATCAATTTTGCAACTAATTTATGATATATTTCCTTGTTTAATGGCGTATTTATAGTTATTATTCTTAATTTGCGATCATGAAGTAGGAGTACTAGTTGGTTTATATGTTAGATTGCCAGTATCTTTAGCAATTTATGAATGCATTTATGTTGAGAAGTAAAAATTTTATATTTATAGTAGACAACTTCAAATTTCAACAAAAATTTTAATTTACCTAGTTATTTGATTTCAAATTCTTTTTCTATACATTGTTTTAGTGTTCATTGTTTCTTCTCATTATTTTCTATTATGATATGTTATCAACGTATATTACAAGAATTGTAATTCCCCATGTTTCTAAATGTTTGATGAAAACAGTGTGGTCTCCTTGAGTTTTTCTTTTTGGTATACCCATTATTTCCCAAGGATAGTTTTTTCATGTGCTTGCATTTCCACACTCATAGTATTCTTTCATTTTCTACAGGATAATCATCACATATTGTGAAGTGAGAAATTTTTTATGGGTTGATGAACACTTATCAAATGATACAAATTATGATATATAATACAGAGAATATTTGGTATATTCTTTTATACGTTTATGCAATGCAATAAATATATCATTATTAAGGGACTCTATAAATTTTTTGGGACTTACCTCAATTCCAGGATGATGGCCAGATTCTTGGACCTATTTTGGCTTGGTATTCGACATCTTCTTCCTCTTGTACCCAGGGATCAAGTTTTCATTTTTGATGAGAATAAATATGAAAAAAGACAAAATATCCAAATATTCGAGAGATTAGATGATTTGTAATTCTTATTGCTGGGTAAACTACTGAAGTTTTTCAAGAAAACTTTTGAAATCAAGAGGAAGAAGATGCAAACTTTTGAACTTCAGCTAGAAGACTATTTTCCTAT